ATATATATATATATATATATATATATATATATATATATCTATTTCAAATGTTAATTTAACATATTTTTAATTTTTTTTATATTGAAATTAATACTTTTCAATTAAAACAATAATCAAAATGACTATTATTTAATTTATTAATAATATTCATTCGTTCTTTACCATTCTGTTTAATCATTTTTTTATTTTATACAGAACAAAGAACATTATAGCGACATCTTTCTTTAAAAATATATATACATAGGTTCATGATACATATATATATATCATGTATACTTAATATATGCATATACAGTTTTGCTTTGTAAAAAACATTATACACGTGTTTTGCTTATTTAATTTTTAATTAATTTTAAACATAATTAATTAATTTTAATTATGAATAATAAATTTGATAGATTTTAGCTATTAAATCTCTTTTCAAAATGCAAGTATCTTGTCCAAACAATGTAAAAATATATAACTTAAGTGCTGGGAAATCTCTTCCAGAGGTAAATCTTTTTATTTTCATTCTTTTAAATATATCATCGTATAACTACATATTAATTTCCATCATTTCATCATTTAATTTTTTTCAGTGGTTATCTGAACGAAAAAGACGTGCTTTATTAAAGAAAAATATTGGTAAGTTTCATAAATATTTTATCAAATATAATAAATAATATATAAATATATTATAAATAATTTATTAAATGTAATAAATATGATAATATGATAAAATATAATTATACATATAATCATAATATTATAATAGATATACGACGTCGAATTGAACTTATTCAAGATTTTGATATGCCTGGTGTTAGTACTTCTATCAAAGTTACAAATGATGGGCAATATATTTTAGCAACAGGTATATATAAACCACGTGTTAAGTGCTTTGATGTAAAGAATCTATCTTTAAAGTTTGAAAGATGTTTTGATTCTGAAGCTATTGCTTTTGAAATATTATCAGATGATTATAGTAAAGTATGTATTTACATTATATATATATATTATATATTATATTTTCATAAAGAAATATAATATTTAATTATTTTTTTATTTTTAGTTAATATTTCTATGTTGCGATAGAAGCATTCAATTTCATGTTGCTCATGGAAAATATTACATACTTAGAGTACCTCGTTTTGGAAGAGATATGAAATATCATTATCCATCTTGTGATATTTTTGTTGTGGGAGATAGGTTTGGTGCATAATATTTTGAGTTATAATTTTTAATTAAAATTGTAATTATTGAAAATATATTTCATTAATTTGCAATATGTATATGTTACAGTAACGAAATTTACAGAATAAATCTTGAAAGAGGACAATTTTTACAATCTTTTTTAACAGAGGCATCATCATTAAATAAATGTGAAATAAATCCTATACATCATCTTCTTGTTATTGGAACAGAAGATGGAACAATAGAAGCATGGGATCCTCGTGCTAGAAATAAAGTTGGTATTTTGGATTGTGCTTTGCATTGCATTAATCAAGATAATAAGTAAGATATACATTATATCAATAATTTTATAGTATTTTTAAATATAGTTTTTATAACAATATTTGTTTTATAATAACAAAATTTTTATTCTATTATTATTTAGATTAGAAAAAATTCCTGCAATTACTAGTTTAAAATTTCAAGGAAGTTTAACATTTGGAGTGGGCACATCAACTGGACAAGTATTATTATATGACATTCGTTCAAACAAACCATTTTTAGTAAAAGATCATATGTATGGTTTACCTATTAAAAATATTGAATTCCATAAGAAAATGGATATAGTTTATTCTATGGATAGTTCCATAGTAAAAATGTGGGAAAAAAATAGTGTAAATAAAATTTGTGATTTAATATGTGATAAAGAAAACAATACATAACAATAGTATTTATTTTTAAATATGAAAATATTATTTTAGGGTAAATTATATACATCTATAGAAGCACAACATGATTTTAATGATATGTGTGTTATACCAAATACAGGAATGCTTTTAATTGCTAATGAACATACAAAAATACAAACATTTTATGTTCCAACTCTTGGTCCAGCTCCCTCATGGTGTAGTTTTCTGGATAATCTTACAGAAGAACTAGAAGAATTAAATTATGAAATAATTTATGATGATTATAAATTTATAACTGAGAAAGATTTGGATGAATTAGGTCTTTCACATTTAAAAGGCACCAATCTTCTTAGAGCTTATATGCATGGTTATTTTATAGATATGCGATTATATAGAAAAGCAAGAGATGTAATGAAACCATTTGAATTTGAACAATATAAAAAGAAGAAAATACAACAAAAAATAGAAGAAACTTGCAGTAGTAGAGTACAGGTATTGAATGCTTTATTACTATATATATAATTGTAATTAAAAACATCACAAATTATATATAATTTGTGATGTTTTTAATATATATTTATATTAAATATAATATATTATATTATTTATAGATTCAAAAAATACCAATTGTAAATAAAGAACTTGCATTAAAATTAATGGATAATGAAACAAATGAGAAAAAAAAAAGAAAAAGTTCTTCTAATCTTCTAACAGATGAACGTTTCAAAGAATTGTTTACTAATCCAGATTTTCAAGTAGACAAAACTTCAGAAGAATATTTATTATTAAATCCTGTCATTTCACAACTCAGTAAGAGTAAAGCAAAGAAGCTAAAGGCCAAAGAAGTTGAAAAAGAAATAGAAGAAAGAATAGAAATTGATGATGTGGAAAACGAACACTATGGTTATATGAATATATTACATATTATTATTGTTCCGTTTTTTAAATTTAAGTTATTTATTTTTGAAAATCTACAAGATTGTTGAATAATACTAAAAATATTTTAAATAGAGAGAATAGAATAGAATAATTTCAAAGAATAATGATTAATTCTTTTTTATTAGAGAACAATATTTTTTATTTTATTTTAAAGAACTATAATCTATATTTGCATATCGATTAATATAAGAAATTATATGATATTATTTGAAAAAACAATCTTTATATATTCTCTATGTTTAATATAAAATTATATTAAATATATACTATTTGAAATCATTTAATTTTCACTTGAAACAATATTAGCAACTTTGATAGATATGAAATCTAGATTAAATATTAGAAAACTGATTTAAATGAAATAGAAATAATATTTAATTAATTTAATAACAAAATTTATATTTTTAGATAATAGTTCAGATGAAAGTTTTATCCATGATGATAGTAGTTCAGAAGATGAAAAATTATGGGTTAAAGAAGTGAAAAATCAATATCGATTGATAAAGAAGAATGAAAAACGATTACAAGAAAATAATGATGAATATGTTGAGAATGAACCTCAACTTTATGAAATTAAAGAGAATGTAGAATTCAAAGATGCAAAGCCTATAGCAAAAAAGCAAAACAAGTATGTATATTTATTATTTGTTATATATATGTATATATGTAATTAAAAATAAATAAGTAATATAATATAATCTAATATATATCTAATATCTAAATATCTAATATAAACTTCTAAATTTTTTTTATCATTGTTATTATTATTTTTTTTTTAGGACTACTTTAGGAGAAAGATTGAAAAATCATGAAAATGATGATATTAAAATTTCTGCTTCTCGTGGAAACAGAGAAATAACTTTTATTAGTGAAAAGGTATATATACATGTATATATACTTTGAAAACATATATATATATCTATTCTTATATCTGTGTTTATTTATAGAATAAACAAACAAGACGAAGAAAGTTACATGTGGAGAGGCATGGAGAAGGATATAAACATCTATTAAGACCAGCAGGAATTTTGAAAAGGATGAAACGTTAATATTTATTGTAATTATTTTATTAAATATTAAATAATTATTTTTTTTTAAATAAAAATATCTTTATGTTATTATCATTGTTATTTTGAAGAACAATTCTTATATTCCTTAGTGTCATCCTGTACTAGAAGTTAGTTATAGATTGAATAAAATAATTTATTTTGACGCGATGTATGTAGATATCTTGACAGAGGTGAAGTGTCATCTCAAAAGAGTGATATAATGAAATTCTTACATTAGGGTGAATCATACGAAATAGTGATACAAATGTTTTCTTTTCAAGTTCAAAAGTATCGTATCCGTTTGTCAAGAAAAATGACATTAGTAAGTTTTATATTATATTTAATTTAATTCTTTTTTTTTATTAATTACATATATAGATTATCACATAATATGATAAATATAATATGATATCCCGATTTTATCGTATGTATTATTAAATTTTAATTTATAAAATTAACACTTAATTTGTTTAAAGAGTTTAAATTAATTTATATTTGTTTAAAGAGAAAAATGATTATTTTTATTTATTATAATTTATTATATAATAAGTATTGTTTAAGTTTGTTTTAATTTGTCTACATTTACATTTAAATCGTTAATTCTCTAAATTTATCTATAATTTAATTATTTATTTTATTTCAAATTTTAATAGATTATAAAATCTACATTTAAAAAAAATATAATTATGTTGTTATTTTAAACTTTTTTTTTCTAATAATTATAAATGATTTAATAATTTTCTAATATTGTAAAATCAAATATATTAAAATCGCAAATATATTAAATATATTAAAATAACAAAATTATTTTGTGTTTTAATTATATTCTAATTGTTATTCTTTACAGGCAAGTTCACATAATGAATCAAAGAATGGAAAAGATCCTCCTCAACAAAATCATGAAGAAACAGTGCAAGAATCTACACCATCTGGATTATCAGATTTACAAATGCAAAGTACAGAAGTAAGATTTAATACTTCTCACTTTAGTATGTAAATATATATAAATATAAATATATAAATATGTATATAAATTATAATTTTTATCTCTTGATAGGTTGGTGAAATCACAGAAATGCCAAATTTTGAAATATTAAACACATCTGCAGTACTTCATTATTGTAAACACAAAATATTAAAACCATATTTAACATTATTAGGAATAATGGGTTTAAAACCAATGAGTAGTGATGATTCACAACGATGCTCTTGTTATTGTATTTTTGCAAATCTTCATACTTTGCAGGTCACAATATTTATGTGCATTGGATATATTTTACAATATATGGCATGTTTTAGGTAATAATATCTAATATAGTATTTTTAATACGATTTTTATTAAGTATTTAAGTAATTAATTTTTCAGAAGAGATCGAGGCTTTTGTTATAAAACAATGCCTTTGAAATTTCAAATGACATCCATCAATAAGCAACATTCAGAAAAAGTTATTTGCTATGGAAATATTATATTTAGTTATCTAGTTCCCAGTATTTTACATTTAATTGCATACTTATATACTATATATCTATTTCGAATTAAAGAAAATGAACAATTACAAAATTTAATGGAAAGAGCATTTCTTTTATCATCTAATCCTGCAAATCGTGGAAATCAGAGAAAACTTGTATGGATATTGTGGTTATTTATAGCATTGAGTCTTGTATGGATAATTATGGCATTAATTACAGTAAATGTCTTAATAGCCCAAGAAAACATTATATTTCAATGGTTAGAATACAGGTAATTTTCTACATAAAATTTTTGCTTAATATAAAATATAATAATTAAAATTTATTTTATTTTTTTCATTTTTAAACTACATTTAATTTCATATTTTGAAACATTTCATTTCAAAGTAATTATTTTCATATTATTAAAATTATTTATATTTCTTCCAAATTTATTTTATGGGTAGTCCAAATCAAGTAAAAATAATACTGAAGATACTTTTAATTGTCTGTACATTATGGCATGATATGGTTCAAGGAACAATTATTACAAGCTATTGTTTGCAAGGGCAACTTTTACTAGCACATTTATATTTCCTTCGTGGAAAATTACTTTATCATACTTTATCTCCTATTGATTGGATGAGGGTTTGTATATCTACCTTTATAAATAATTATTTTAGTTTATAATTAATAAAAAAAAATAAATTAAAATTAAAAAATTAAAAATAAAGAGAAGAATAAGAAAAAGAAGAATACAATTCAGGTCTGCATTTACTTTACAGGAAATTAGTGAATTTAAAAAATTATTAAAATATTTCAATGATGAATTAGGATTAGCAGTATGTATTTATACAATTGTAAATTTATCATGGGCAGCCACTAGTATTGTTTGGTTGTTTCAGTATGATAATAGCGATATGCGAAATAATCATGTCACTTGGATTGGTATAATAAATGTAATTCTTTGGATTTTAATATCAATAGCTCCCTTTATTCAGGTATGTTTATCTATAAAAAATACGATCAAAATAAATATTGAAATACTTGATATTATTCGAAAATTTCGAAAATTCAAAATAAAGAAAAAATATTTGAACTTCTTTTGTTTTTTTAATAGGCAGCTCGTTTAACTGCTGCTTGTTCTATGATTCAAAGTATCGGACACGAGGTACGAATTAGACCATTCGTATATCAAAGCACTCCGGGTGAAGACCTCGATACTATACTTTTGTATACATCGTCATTGAAAATGTGCGCCAAACTCTTCAGAGTACCAATTACGGGTAGATACCTTTGTCTTCTCCTAACTATAGGCAGTATCTTGATCCTTACATTAGGACAATGTCAATTTTTTTAATTATTTTTTATATTTTGATAAATCTAATTATACCAAATATTTTTTTGCATATTTTTCATTTTATATATATATATATATGTAATTGATCATATTTTAAATCAGAGTAACATTTATATCTTCATTATCTAGAAATTTCAAAATTATAATTCATATTAAAATTAATTTAAATTAATCATTATTTACATTCAAAGAGAAAACTTATATTAAAAGAAAAGTTAACATTGAATTATTAACTTTTTATTAAATTCTACATATAATTGAATATGTATATTTATTATAATAAATATATCTAATTTATTTTCAATCTTTTTTGATTTTATTTTTATTTAATAAATATTATCATTAAATTAATGTATATCATATCTTTTTTGTTTTTGTTAATGAGCATTAAGCCAATAGTATATTTGTATGAAATCAATTGTCATTGGTTAATACATTGAGAATTTGCTAAGTATTATCGTGCTGTTGCGTCTGATAAAACTAATAAGGAAAAATTTGTTTCCGAAATTTTTTCATTTCGTATATGCAAATTTATTTCAGTTTATTATATATAAAAATCATGGATTTACTAGGATCTATTCTTAATTCAATGGATAAACCTCCTACAATTAGTGACAGACAAAAGGCTTTAATGAAAAGTTAGTTAAAATAATTAACCTATATTATAATTGATCAATTAATTATTTTGATATTTATAAAATAATTTTTATTACATAGAGCAAAAAGAAGAGTATCAGAAACATCAAAAAGCAGAAGCTGAAAGATTAAAAATTTTCCGAGAAAAGGTTTAAATTTTGCATCTATATCTTAATTTCTATTAAATGAGGTTATATGTGTATTATTTCTTTTATGTTGATTCAGGTAGAAGAAAAAATTAATAAATTTCTTCAAGATGACAATGCAAAGGAATACAAATTTCCACCAATGGATCAAATTTATAGGAGTATAATGTATATAAAAAAAACAATTATTTCAGTTATCAATAATACAATATCTTGATGTTTTATTATATTATAGACATGATGTTGCTGAAGTAGCAAATATATGGGCATATTCATTTGGTGAAGAAGGCATTGATCGTCATATTGTGATTTTTAAAAGAGAACATGCTCCATCTGAAGATCAGTTAAATGCACTTCGTAGAGGAGAAGAATGGAACGAAGAAATAGCAAAAAGATTAATAGAGGAGAGAGAAAGGCGAGCCAAAGAAGAGGAGGAGGCTGCTACTAAACCCAAAAAACGAAAAGATAATTTTGTACCAAATAGTTATTATAAAGATAAATATCAACATTTAATTGGAAAGGAAGCTGCTCTAGAAGCAGCTAGAAAAACAGAAGCTAATAGTAGTTATGGTTGTGGTAAATAAACAATTATGTTATTAGATATATATATATATATCTGTTAAATATATTTAGTTATTAATTAAAATTTATTCTAGTTCCTAGTGAAAATAAAAAAGATCAAAGAAGTATAGAACAAACATTAGCAGATATACGAGCTAAGAAAAGAAAATTGGAAATGAGTATCAAGGAGTCAAATCATCAAGATGAAAGTACAAAATAAAATAAATAATGTTCAAAATTATGTAAAATATTTAACTTATTTAATTTCTAACTTGTAAATATTTCAGATTAATGATATGACATAAAATTAAATGTTTAAATGCAAAATTATTCATATTTTACTGATTATAACACATGAACTTACTTATTTTATGTATGTATTAATATTATATGCCTGTGATAGAAACAGAAAAATATTGAAATGCAATATATGTATTTATTAAAAAATTCAAATTAACTTATATATATACAGTATAATACAAATAGCACATTGTGAAATATTCTATTACTTCCTTTGCAAACAGTTTTCTATATTTCTATGTGTATATTTATATTTTGTTTTAAATATTTATTTTAATATAAATTTTAAATATATTCTGTGGTAGAATACTTAGGTACAGAAGTCCTAGGAGCAGGTTTTGGTTTACTTGGAGACGAATCGAATACAATTTGCTCTTTTAAAGCTAACAATTTCTTAAAAACTTGATTTGTTGTTGATTTATACAATTCTAATCCCCGCATAATTAAAATATCTCGGATATATGAAGCATTATCATGCACCAATTGTTTCTAAAGAAACATTAAAGAAATAAATATTTATTCAAATATGATCATAAAAAAACATAATATAAAAAAAAAGGCAATTAATTACCTCTTGTTTTAATCTTGGATTTGTAAGTGATACTATTATATGTTGCACTTGAATTCGCATAACTGATATTAAAACTGAATCTATTATTGCCATTAATTCAGGTGTAGCAACGCTAAGACAATCTTCTAGTAGACTTACATAAATTTTTGAAAAAGTTAAAGTATTATCAGTTAATGCAATCCAACAATCATTTGTTATATAAGATGATGGAACAGTTATTCCAAGATCATCAAATTCTAATAGAAATTTTTGAACATTTTTGCAACTTTCTAAATTAGTTGGCCGCCACGTATCTTTTGCTATATATTCTTTCACAGTATCAATGTATTTTTCACCCGTATCTTGTATAGCTTTTGCTAATGGGGATCTGAGTTGACCATCCAATTGATAACGAAAATCCATTCCTAATTGCATTAACTACAAGATAAAATGTATAATACAGATATATAATACAAAATTATATTTTTTGAAAATATATTATTACGATTTATAAAAAATTGTTATTTTAATAATAATATATATAAAATAAAAATTAATGCCGTATCATTACCATACCTGATCGCAGTGACTTCGAACACAAACAATACATTCTACTAAAGTGCTTAGAGACACTTGTGGAATAAAAAGTTGCTTAGTTAAATGTGTCGTTAAATATTTTACTTCTTGACTACACCAAAGTACCAAACCTAATTATATATATAAAATGGAGAAAATTAAAAAAAACGATTTGATTTCAAATCATAACATTCATTCATGATTTTTTTATTTGTAACTTACCAGATGTACAATTTGTTGACTGTGGGAAAAGTTTTAAGAATTCTTTTGTGATTTCAACGATATTACTAAAAGCAATTGCACTAAGTTGCTTTACATAAGGTGCAATAGCTCCTTCTTTTTTAACTCGTTTTAAACGTGCTTTTAACATAGCACTACATAGCCGCAAATATAATTGACAGGCTTGAGCATTTCTATTTAATTGTATCAATAGTTTTACTACGCGACGTGCACTTCTTAAACCACCACCTTGCAAAGATTTCGCTTCTGCACTTAATTCAAGTTCTTTTGTTAAAACTTCAATTAATGATTTTCCTCTATCATTTACCTTTAACTGGATTTCTAATAAAAGTGGTGTTATTTGTACATCTTTTAAATAAGTTTTTGCTTTTTCTAAAAGACTATAAGCTTCCTCAAAATGACGTTGTGCTATGCAAGAATCTAAATCTTCTGCCACTTCTAATATCCATTCTGGTGGTGGTTCATGATATTCTGTATCTTCATCATCTATACCTATAAAAGAATAACTAAGAAAATTAATGAAATTTAATTTAATTTAATTATATAAATTTTATTGAATTATCGTTCATACCGAGAGTGTTCGAATCGAGTGACATCGATCGAGAAGGCATCGTTATTTTCTCTTCTTTTGAACATTTATTATTTTCGGATGTCTCATTTGGATTATCTTCAATCAATTTCATTCTTTTTGCTTGTTCACATTTATCTAACCATTCTTTCTAAAAAATATATTATAATTTATATCTTTTCATAATTATATTTTTTTCAAAATATTTTTTATGAATATTATCTATTTTGAATATACTAACTTTACTTGTTGCAGTTGCACATTGAAATACCCTAGTATCAGAGAATGCTAAAAGTTTGAATGCTAATTTTACTGTTCCAAGATCTCTGACATTAACAATTGCTAAACTTTCAAGATTATAAACAGCTTGCATTTTATATTTTGGTGGTCCTCTTCTATTTCCATTTGCTAACCAAGAAGCAATCATTAGAATATCAGTAAATAAATATGCATGAACTCTTTTTAATGGAGTCCCCTCTAAGGGATCTAATTCTAACAAAGATCCTTCATGTAAACATATACGACCAGGTATTTCTGCTAAACTCTATGAAATTAAAGAACAATTATTATTATGAATATTTTTCATTTACTATTATTGATTTACAAATCTAGAAAAATGACAATTTAATAACTTACCATAGCACCTTCTACATTTTCAAGTAATTGCATTAATTTTTGTTTTTGTTCTTCTTCTTTAGTAGTAGAATTATTAATATTTTCTAATTGGGATTCAGATAAATCTTCAAAAGTAACACCAGTAGTTCTGGTAGATCCTAATGTACTTAACAATGAACGTTGTTCACTGAGTAATTGAGATAACTGGTACATTTCACTTTCTAAATGTGAAATTTCCTTGGCAGTTTCTATAAATTGCATATAGTTTTGATAAACATTACGTTTTAATTGTGCAGAAGTATTATTTGCAAGTTCTTGAATTTTAGCTCTTTGTTGTCTTAATTCATCTGCTCCAACACATTGTGCGCTAAGTTCTTTTACAACTATAAACAAAACAAATGTCATTTTATGTTTTATAAACAAATTTTAAAGTTTTATAAACAAAAATTTATAAGTATTTACCTACATTTTTCAGGATTAAAATCTTCAGTTGCAAAAACTTTTGCTAAACTGTTAGCCATTATAAAAATATTTGCTATGACCTAAATAAATTCATTTATATATTAATAAAAAAGATTAAATCAATTCTTTATTATGTAATTTCCTTTTATAAGCAATATTCGTATAAATATTTATTAATTGTAATCATTTAAATACGTTTATTCTAATGCAATCATATACATATAATGAATTTGATATATCTCACAAATGACAACAAAAATATTATTCTTAATGTCATGTAGTATATAGTCTTAAAACTTTGTATAGTAACAATTACTAGATGAAAAAATATATCGATGATATTATAGAATGAAAATTTCAAATTGTTATATTTTATTTACTATAATTTCTTCCGTAATTATGTTAATCATGTAAATTTTTTTTAAAATATTCTATAATATTTAATATAAATAATATAATAATATAATTTCTAAAAAAATTTCATTTTGAGAATTTCTAAATATAATAAATTTTATTTTTTCTTTTTAATGATAATTTTAATCACTTCCTTTTATATTTAATATTATTGTATAAAAATTTATATTTGTTTATGAAAAGAGATATAATAGATCGCATCATTATTAGTCCCATTTTATGAAAAAATATAATTAAAAGAAAAGATATATATAATTTTAATTTATTTTATTAAAATAATATATACGTTGAATATTTCTTCTATAACAATATATTACTATAATAATTATTATTTTTAGCTTTAATATCAAAGTTGTGTAACCTATATATGTATTATTTATGTCGAAAACATAAATAATTTAATCTAAACAATTTTTACAGATAAATAATTAAAAGAAAGGTATGTACTTAATAAATTTCGTTTATAAAAATTGTTTTTAATTTTAATAATCAAAATATTTATTATATAAATATTTTAGAGAATGAAATATTATTGGGAGCGATGAATATACAAAAAATGATACCAATTAATTCTAAAGATTCAGACGTGAAAGACAGCGATAGCAGAGGTACAATTAAAGTTATAGATCGCCCAACATTTATACTGAAAACCAGAGAAGGTGAAAACAGAGCTGTGTCTCCAAATCAACGTAATGGTGGTAACAAGTACTTACAAATAATTTCTTGCATAAAAAAAATTTAAATTATATTTGAACTTTTAAATTATAATATCATTAAATTATAGAAAAGAAGGTGATGCATCTTCCAATGTTTCATCAAAAATACAAGATCGTGAGTATTTTCTTTTTACTTTAAATTTTAAATATCAATTTTTAATACAATGATATTAATAGATTTATAATTTGTAGCTGTTCGTACTGTATTACCAACTTGTCTTGAAATGACAAGTTGTGTAAAATTTATGGATGAAAATATGCAACTTTGTGAATATCCTCTTGAATTCTTGTATGATCAACAAGATTTTTTAGTTGTAGGATGTTTAGGAGCTCAAGGTGTAGGAAAATCAACTATAATGTCTCTTTTAACGTGTAACATTGCGTCAGTATTATTTCAAAAACTTTAAGCAAATATTATATTTTTAAAGAAAATCATTTCTGTTTCATTTTTTTATTATTATAGGACTGGTATTTTTCCAATTCAAGATACATCACATCATGAAAGTGGTGCAAATTGTACTATTGGTATTGACTTTTTTGTAACAAAAAATCGGGTAATATATTTAGATACACAACCTATATTGTCTGGATCTACAATAGATTATTCAACAACTTATGATCAAAAAAAGCCTACAACAGATTTTATAAATATAGAAACTAATTTAGAGTTACAATCTTCACAGTTTGCAGCATTTCTTTTTTCAGTTTGTCATGTTATTATATTTGTACAAGATTGGTTCGTAGATCCAAATTTAGTTAGGTATAATGAGCATAATTTTATAATATTACTTTGTTATAAATTTTTGTAAGAATTAAAACTTATTATATTTCATAGATTTTTACAAACTGCAGAAATGTTAAAACCATCTTCAACTAGTAATATGGACCAAGATTATGTTGAATATTATCCACACATTGTATTTTTACATAATAAAGCTGAATTACAAGATTTTACTCCTCATAATATAGAAAAAGTAAAGGTAATATATAATACATATAGTTTTAATATATGTTTTTAACTTTTTTTAATATATGTTCTAAAACATGTACTTTTTATATTAAAAATAATAATAAATGGTTAATTTGAAAAGTTACACTGATGTTTATTTATTTATACTTGCAGGAATTTTATACTAAATTATTCTCCAGTTCTAGATTACAAATTCATAGTGGTTTGGATATGAGTAATCATTCTATGGAGGCAGGATTAAATTTGTTTTTTATACCTCGTATTACAAATGAAGGTACAGTATTTCATTATTCTATTTATTTTACTTTCACTCAAACATTGAAAATGTTTTAAAACTTGTCTTGATTAAATTTTTTTTTTAATTGTAGAAGAATTTACAATGCGTCAAAATGGGAAAAAACTAATAGAAAAGTTAAAAACAAAAATACATGGTGTTAACAGAAATTCAATGACACCATCTACTTTAACAGAAAAAAATTGGTAAGTGCAATAAATTAAAAAAATTAATTTTTCTTCATTGTATGTTATAATAATATAACATACAATCATAATAATCGCTTTATAATTGAATTATCTAGGTACCATTACGTTTCAAAAGTAATGGAAGCGATTAAAAAAAGTCATCTTTCTTCCGAGTATGGAAGATTAATGCCGTAATTTCCAATAATAATATATATGTATTATACACTATTTCTGCAAAAAAATATACGTACATTATGTATCAAATAATTGTAGGCATTCTATAAAAAAAAATCATAATGTTTTGTTACTTATTTAAATTCATAATAAGATTTTAAAATTATAGAAATATGAAAGCAATTGCTGGCATTTTTGAAAGTTATGTATATGTTATGTATAAGTAATAATATGTAATGAATAAATCAAAGAAAAACTAAAGTGATATATTGTTGCAATTATTTTAAATTTGCTAAAATGAAAATAATTATCTCTTATTTGTTGTCAATGAATCGATTAAATATATTAATACAAAACTATAAACTTTTACGAGTAATCTTCTTGTTCACTATCAACTTGTTGCATTGAAGCCATTTGTGCAACTGCTTGTAATTGTTGCCATTGCTGTTGTTCTGCTACTGCTTGTTCTTCTCTTGCCTTTGCAAATAATTCTTGTTGCTGTCTAAGAAGTTCTTCTTCTGGAATTCCCAAATTTTCTAATCTAGTGCTTTGACGTCTTCGTTTAGCTGCGACAGCCTTGCAATCTCGCAAAACTGCCTCCGCTTCAGCACTATAATCTCCAAATCCAAGTTTTTCGAGTGCTTGAAGAACATGTTCAGCATTTATAGTTTTCTTCTGTTGTTGATTACAAATTTCATTTGCTTCAGAAGAAAGTAAGTGAATAAATTCTGTACAACAATTTAATATTAATTCTCGGGATTCATTCGCTACACGTACATGTGGTAAAATTTCCTTGATCATTTTATTGATCGATGCACGAGGTAAAGTCAATTCATCGTCTTCGGTTGGTGATATAGTAGCCGAGGCCATATTTTTCTGCAATTCAAAAAAAATTATTTATTTTTTTGATAAAAAATTTATTACTATTAATTAAACTATTAATTATTTTTAATTCTTATTATTTTTTTTATTTCTTTAATTTTTATCGAATTATTCAATTTATCATATATTAACTATTTATTGTAATTCATAAAAAAAAAAAAAAAAATATTTCAACTCAATTCAAAATTCTATTTTTTTCTTTCATATTTTGATATATTTTTGAAAATTTATTTTTTTCAATATATATTTTAAATAATTCGAACATGTTAATACATACATATCTCTAATTTTAAATATTAAAAGCTTATCATTTTATCACATACTTGAAAATTTTATATACTCTTTCTAAGAAAAATATTATCAGATAAAGTGTTTACGGATAATATATGTTTGTTTCGTTTTGTAAAAATAGCAAAAATTTTATTTATTATTTTATATCATTTGATTTCATGATTGAATATAGAACAATAGTGTAATTATTTATTATCAAATCTGTTATAATTAGAAAATGAAATGTTACTAAGAATTCAATTTATACTGATATATGGTATACTCATTTTATTCTACTTATGTGATGGAAAATATGTAACAAGCACGAGCGAATATGTTGGTACTGTGCGGAATTTAAGCGTAGAAGTTTTAAAAGATCCAAAATATATAGAAAAACGAGATGCATATAAATTTTTAAAATTGAATATATCTTGGTTACCACCAAGTACTTTTAGGCAACCTTCTTCTTATAGGTAAATATTCTTTAATGAATATAAGAGAAAATTTAATCAATTTATTACTAATTTGTTTTGTATTATATTTGTATATGATAGTATTATAATCACAGGCATACCATCAATAGAAGAAAAAACAAGTATCATAAAATGTTCAGAAGGATCACTTTTTTATATATTAAAACAAGAACAAGACAAAAAATTTAATGTATTATTACCTGAATACAGTAACTTAGATGATATACCAGATCTATATATAAAACCTGATTGTTCTTACAAAGTGCAAGTTCTTGCTAATCCAAGAACAAAATACATGATAGATATTCCTGAAGTAAGTTATTGATATACAATGATAAATATGTATATATTATATTTACGTATATATTCTATAAAATTAATAAAAAATTTTTAAATTCTATAGGTTTTATATACAGTTCCTAAATGCATAAATAATTCATGTAATTGTATCAATGCTAAAAAAACACTACCAATTCCAAAAGTAAATATATTTCAAAGAGGAAATCAAATGGTTATAAATTGGAGTACAACTTTTAATACATCCAATATTCAATTTTATATAATCAAGTATATTTAAAAGTTAAAAAAACTTTAAATATAATTGATATTTGATTTTATTCAACATTTATATATTATTTCATAGGATAGGTATTCCTCTTTTCATATCAAGGAAAGGGTTACCTGTTTATAATATAACAAAAATAGGACAGGTACCTGTAAATAAAACTATGTTTTTATATGACTTAAAAATTAACAATCAAAATATACAAGTTAAAAATGGTTATAAAATAATAGTTAGTGCTGTCAATAATTATGGATGTTTTGGACCAGAAGGAACTTTTATTATATATTTCATGTCATCAAATATTAAAATTGTAAATTACAATCATAATTATTATAATCATAAATTATTAACAAAAATTATATAATATAAAATAATGTGTAATAATAAAATATTTTTCATTATTTTTTCAAATTATATTTTTCAGTGGTTTATATTGATTGGAGTAATAATCAGTTGTATTCTAATTGGAATTTTAAGTTTTATATTATATCATAATTATAATTTTTTTATGATGAAACAAAAAGTATGTACAATTTCAAAATGCAAATGGACAGAAACAATACTTCAGCATAACATTTTGTATATCAAACATGAATCTAAAGTAAAAAGATAATTTTATGTGTATTATATGAATAGCTATTATATTATATAATTTATATTAATTAAAATGATTTTTTAGGAAAAACAAATAGAAGAGACAAATAAGTTAAAAGAGTCATTTGAAAGTGTAAAATTAATACGTAAATTGGGTATTGGGCAATTTGGAAAAGTATATCTTGGTCGTTTGAATGATAAAAATAATAGTTTAGTTGCAGTAAAAATGTCTCAACAAATAAATTTATCTATTGACTCTGAAACACGTCAACAATTTATTCAAGAAATTGAAATAATGATAATAGCTGGAAATCATCCTCATTTAGTAAGCCTCATAGGTTATTGCATTAAACCTAATAATCCTATATGCATTTTGCTTGAATATATGAAAGGTGGAGATTTATTAACTTATTTACATAATCAACAAAAAAGCAATCAACAAAATAAAAAAATCATTTATCATGATCAAAATATTTTACAAGATTTATGTAAAGCTTATGTTTCAAAAAGTAAATGATTTATTAAATTATAAATTTATTTACTATAAATTTAAAAATTTTAATATAATCTTAATTTTTAGCTTTATATACTAATATATGTTCCACTATATTAAACAAAACAAATAGTTATAGATCTAAACAATATGTAAATATTACTAAAAATTATAAAGAAAAAGCAAAAAATGAAAATGAAAGTTGGATTGGTAAAATGGAAGGACATCAATTTTTAAAATTTGCTAAGGAAATTGCTATGGGTATGGAACATTTGGAAGCTAAAGGAATTACTCATCGAGATCTTGCAGCAAGAAATATTCTCCTTACTGAAGATTTAACTGTGAAGGTAATTTAATACTTAATATTATATGAAATTTTTTTTTAAAGATGAAAAGTTTTAACAAAATCTAATGACAATATTTAGATTTCTGATTTTGGACTTTCAAGAAATGGTGTATATGTAATAAAAAATACAGAAGAAAAAACACATCATCTTCCAATAAGATGGATGTCTCCTGAAGCTTTATATAATAGAACTTTCTCTTCAAAAAGTGATGTATGGTCTTTTGGGATAGTACTTTGGGAAATTAGTACATTAGGTGGTTTTCCTTATTCTAACATACAAGATGATCATTTATTACATTATATTGTTCATAAAAATGGTCGTTTGGAACAACCAGATAATGTTCCTTCAAGTATTTATAAGTTAATGCATTCTTGTTGGACTACAGAACCTCAGAACAGACCAAATTTTACACAACTGCTTTCTAAATTACAAATTTTAATTGCATCTTTAGATAATACTTTTTTGACAATATCTAATCCTTGTTATGCATTATCACTTTCAGATAAAACTTTTATCCAAAATAATTTTGATTGCATTTATTCGTTAAAAAACATTTAAAAGAAGAGATTTATTTTAAAAAACAAAAAATATATGTTCAAACATAAAAAAGGTTAAGAAAAATCACATGGATATCAATGTAAATCGAATTTTCAAACAGGATATTAATAAATAAATATTTATGAATTTAAAAAAATGATTTCAATAATATATAAGATTTCGATAAAATAATATAAATTGTATTATTTGATATTGTCAAAATCACATATTAAATTAAGTTACATACATACCAAGAGTAAAGAAATAAATCAAATATAATAAAAATAACTGCGTGGTTAAAAGATATATTTTTCACTATTAATTAATGTTTTGAGTTAGAAAAATAATAAGAAAAAAAATATTTGATTCAATAAAAAATTATTTTTTTTATTGACTTTTCGTTTTATGAAAACAAACCTTGTAGTTAATATAATTCACAGATAAGTAATATTTATAGATAGTATGTGCCCTCTTCCGGACAAATTTATAAACAGTATATAAAGGAATTTTTATGAAAATGATCGTAAGAAAGATAAATTTGTGAAGAAAACGAATAATTTTCAATATATTTTATAATTTGTTCTATTTTTAAATATATGACTGCGAATCAGTGTTCATTTATTACAAAGATGTGTTTATATTAAAATATGGCAATGCGAGATAAATTTTTTTTATTGTATAAAATATTAATATAATTATATATAATTTCTGGTTGGTTAAGTTTTTTTGGTATTGTTTAATCATAAAATTTATATACACACATTATATACATTAATATAATTTGTATTTTTTTAGCGATGAATATTAATAAAATGAAATAAAGTGAATACAATATGAATGAAGAAATAATGGACACTATAGGTTACGATACGGCTATAGATGGTAAGTTAGTTTATTGGACTTCTATGTTTTTTTAATAATAACCTTTCTATATTGTTAAAAAAATTTTGTTCTCGTTAATTGAAGACTATTATATAATAATGTTATTATATTTTTCGACAATATAATAAGTTTAATATTTATTGCATTTTTTTTTATAAGTCTATATAAAATGGAATATATGGAATAAAATGGAAAATAGAATATATATGTATATGATTATGAAGTTTGATATTTATTAAAAATATTGAGTGATAATGATGTACTAAACACAATAATGAAACACTGAAATAGTTTTAAGTTGCCCAATCAGGAAATTCAGATAAATTAAAGATGTAGGTGCCCCAAGTGGAAAATGCAAATATTGTTACAAGAAGCGTTATAATGCTAGGTCCTATTCCAGCAATTGCGAAATCTCTGGTTTTTATATGACCTGCTGTAATAGCAATTGTATTTGGTGGAGTGCCTACTGGTAGGTGAAATGAAAAAGAACAACATAAAGAGGCTGGCAGCATCAAATATAGTGGATGTATTCGTAAAGCAATACACTGAAACAACATATAAATATATAGTAAATTAAATATAATTGAAAAATAAATTAATGACTAGAAAAAAGAAATTTACTAACTGAAATTTCTTACCATTTCTGCCAAAACAGGTAAAATAATATTTGCAATTGCAACATTAGATGTCAATTCTGTGATAGTTTCTGCAAATAGGCAGACAATAAATAATATCGCAAATGGATTTATTGATTTCAAAATAGTTAAAGCATTTCCTAGAATAGAAGAAAGGTTGGAAGTGGTACTTCCAGCTGAGATAGCAAATCCACCACCCAAAACTAAAATCAAACTCCAATGCATCTTCGTATTAATCATTTTCCAAGTAATCATGCCAGGCGATGGTTTGGTTGGACGATTAACAGGATCCGCGTCGAATGATCGAAGGAAATCCAATTTAGATGGTAATATGAAGAAAAGAAGAGTAACACCAGCGGCTGCCGTTGAATCTTTAACGTGTCTATAAAGAACTAGGTTGTTCGCTCATATGTCGTTGAAATACATTTTTATAGTAAAATACTATTATGTAGCAAAAGGCTATAAGAATGATGAAAACAAACACGGAAACAAAAGTATATAAAGATATAAAAAAAAGAAAGATTTAAAGAATAACAATAACAATAATAAAAAAAAAGCTATACATACAAATCGGTAATGTAAGTTGGCCAACCCCGTACAAATCCAGGATTTCGGAAGAACCATAGTAGTACAACTACAAGGAAGAGGAGACCAACAGAGAATTCGTGCCACGTAATCGGGCCGAGTTCTTTGTATCTTTTTTCGATTACAGTTGCTGCAACTTTTTCTCCCTGTTTGCCAATATTAATAGCTTTTGCATCTTTGCTTCCTGGTCTAAACATTCCCATGTACATAACTTGAAGCCAAAGCCACGTGAGGAATCCCATTAGAAGCATTGGTGGGACTGAATAAAGCATCCACGATGTTAGGCTAATGCCAGAACTGTTTGGGAACCGTCTGCGACATGAAGGAACGATTGTTTCTCTTGCTTTCTCATTGTACTTAATACATTGTACTTGATAGTCTGTGAACGATCGATTGATAAATCGGTGATAGATTAATAATGGATCTTTTATCAGAGAGCACTTACTTTTCAAAGAATCCTTTTAATGTTAAATTGGTGCCAGTTCCGACTAATGTGCCCACACCTCCAAGACTAGAAGCATATGCTGTCACAAGATAATAAGTCATAGTAATATGTGTTGGTTTCTTTGATCTATAATGATAGAGATAAATTAATTAATGTTCATTAATGAAAAACTTTGAAAAATTGATAAAATGATTACGCACGATTCTATACTTTCTTCGCAATTATTTTCTTCTCGTATGAACATATCACCCAAACCTTGCTGAAAATTAAAAGATAAAAAATATATAAAATCAATTTGAAAAACAATTTAATGACAGAGAATCAAATATATTTAGAAGTTGTAATAACACTTACTGCTTCAAGTTCTAAGAGAACAATTTCGACAATAGGTAACATCATAGTAGTAGCAGCAGTATTTGAAATCCACATAGATAAAAACATAGTTACGCAAAACAATCCCAGTGTTAATCTAAAAATGATATAGCTTATAAAAATGTAACACATATGGTATTATAAATAATGTACATTTTATTTTGATATATATATGATAATAACATTTTATAACTAGTACAATCAGAAGTGATTTTATGTGAAAAAATAATTCGAAAATATAGAATAAAATTTTTTTATTTGAAACTTCGTTTTCGAATAAAACAAGTTTGAAAAATTTTCAAATATAATTAAAATTGGCTATTTCTTTCTTATATAATATATAAAAATAAACAAAATGTAAAATAAAATTTTTAAAGAAAATCAAATTTGAATATATACTATCAAAATATTTACTTATATTATATAATAAATATATATAATCGTGTAATATAATGTAATATAATTGATGAATTTTCAAATTCAATTTTTTCGAAAACAAATTTTGAAATGAAAAAATTTATTTTATATTTTCAAATTATTTTTTCATCTTTTGTCCATTTATATTAACAATAGATAACGATAATAGATTACAAGATATATAATAAAACATATATATATATATTTATTTTATATATATATATATATAATATTATTATTATTATTATTTTATATATATAAATATATAAGAAAAATTGATAGTATGATAAGATTTAAAGACTGAAATGAAAGATTATTGAAAATATTTAGACTATGTCAGTCATTTTAAATTACCTTCGATGACTGCAACCAATCAATTTAATGATCAATAGTGCGATACGTATATGTAGACCAGAATTTTCAATAACGATCGCGATCACCATACTACCAATAAACATCATTGTAGTATCATTCATATAACACATACAAGTGTCACCAGTGCTCATTATGCCCAACAGTGGATAAAGAAAAATAGGAATTAAACCTGTGATTGGTAAAGGAAGCACTTCGGTCATCCAGAACATTGCCATCAAACCAATCACGTATAGACATCGCATCGCTTTTACCTGCATCCAATCGATACATAATCCTTTTCATATTATAATGTACGATAATGAATAGATGTACGTTATATGTATAATAATCAAATGAAAAAGTGAAAAAAAAAAAATGCTAAATATAATGAATAACGTAAAAACAAATTTAAAAAAAAGAAAAAAAGAAAATTGAAAGAAGATTCGAAAAAAAAAGAACGAACCTCGGTAGTTTCAATGATAACAATGGGCAATAGAATCAGTGGCCATAATATGATTACAAACGATTTCCAATAAATTAAGAGAAATTGTATCAACAGTTTACCACAATTGTCGGTTTTTCTGAAACAATCATATCAATCAAAAATAAACATCAAGAATACATTGATGAATGAATAAAGATGAAGAGAAGATTGGAAATAATAAAAAGGAAAAAAAAAATAAAGAAAAAAAATATAAATAAAAAAAAATATGACGATTGATATTAATTAATCGATATTTTATCACAAAATCATATATTATTCTTTAATTATTATTAAATTAAGTATTTTTATATAAAATCAAATTTTCATGAATATGACTAAAAAAATAGAACTCAAATAGAATTCGTTTTATTCTTCAAATATTATAAATATGTAATATTCTAAATATCTTATATCTTTTTGCATGTTATATACTTTTTGTTTTTATACATTCAAATTTTAAATACATCCGCAATATAATAATTATTATAATCATTTTTGTATATTAAAACTCATAGATAAATAGTTCACTAAATTAACCATGAATCAATCAGTATAATTTCTATACATTTCTTCATTTTTTTACGTAAACTTTAATTACAATATAAAAAGATATGTACCTCCTATTCGTAGAATCTGTATTAGTTATTGGATATGGATCAATAGATAGTGTGGCCATTGTTTTTTGTCTAGCAAAAAGCCATGTACCTAAAAAAAAAAAGCGAGATATATACTTCTGTACGAGTAATTTTTTATCCAGGAAAAAAAAAAAACGTTGCAAAGAACATTGATTTATGTCATGACGTATCATACAATAATCGCTAATTTGAAATAATGATCGAACGATAATTGTGTTTGAGTATTCCAACATTTATTCCTTATTATTGACTAATATAACATTAGATATCTGTTAGATTGGCAATCGAAATTAAGTATGTATTTTTTATGATAGAATTGGCACACGATGATACAAAGAATTGCGCAACTTATTATTCTTTGCCTGTTACCTTTGTCCTCCTTTCTGGTCCCATTTGTATCGTGTGCTCGGATTACAGGCTAAATAATTTCACTAAGTGACACTGAACGAGATTGACCTCGAAGGTCTTGCACAATGGGTCATCTAACCCTGTCGACCATTTTACTATTTTCATAATTGTATTCAAGTTTTTCCTTATATTCTAATTGCTACTAGTTCTGCATTATATATACATGTTGCGTTTTCAAACAGATTTAATTTTCTATTGTTTTCTATTGTTTTATGTATTATATTGTTTTGTATAATTTATTTTGCTTATATTTTGAATGAAGTAATTACATGCTGTTGCGTTCTTTTTGAAAATTAAAAATCATATTAACAAAATTACTTTTTCAATACAATAATCGTAATCTTTTTTTGTGTGTTTTTTTGAATTAAAAATAGTGATTTCGAGACAAAAAAAACTATACTTTTATCGATATAGTTTTATATGATATCGATGAACCGGTATAATATTTTTGTGCTTCTATTTCTATATCGAGTTTTTGCGTACGAAATAACATATGTTATATCATATTCGAATTGAATATGATATGAATTGATCCGTACATTCAATTCTTTGTACATATATCCTTATATTGCCACCAGAATATTCGAGATCGCCTTTTTATCGTGTTGGTTACAAAGCTTACGTTTTGTTTGACATCGAATTGGCAATAAACTCAACGATATAAGTACATTCGATTTTAAAACAATCAATATATCGAACTTATACCGATATATCGATATCATGAAATCCTAATCGAAATAAAATCATAAATCGCGAAAAAACAAAATTTCTAATTTATTTTAAAGTTATTTGAATATTATGGAATTCTATTTTATGGTGCTATTTTATATCCTATTTTATATTTTAAACAAATAATCGTATTGATAATTCTATCAACGAATATCGAATATCAATTATTTGGAAGATTCGAAGTTAAATATTCGAATTAAGTATTGCACTGTACTAGTATAATACTGATCGGAATCGATTAAATCGATATCGTATATCTGAATAAACGCTTTGCATACTGGATTTTGAACCATCGTATTACAAGTTGTACGGTATATCGTTGGATGATCATTGCCTCCCGTGCATATTTTCGTATATATTGTTTCAAGAATGGATCTCACCAAGAGACTTCCAAATCGAGTTCTTGATCGTTGCACGAACTTTTATACCACTGCTCGGTTTCGCTTAGGCACGCATAATCGGACCACTGGCGATTAAACTATCACCCCTCTCCTTTAGATTTCTTTCTCTTACTCAGCGGTCGCTTCTGCTTCTTATTTCTTTTTTCTCCTTCTTTCTTCTTTTTTTACTGCTACTGTTATTGCTACTAATTTCTCGTTCTCTTCCTCCTTCTTTTTCTTCTACTTCCTACCCATTTTCAGATATTGATGCTTTTTATTTGTTACTTACCTCGTGGTTTGTCCTCTGCCTACTTGGTTGGTTCTCCAACGACTGGTAAGTCAACTCAACGAAGTAACAACTCGTGACAAACGGTATCGTTCCCCGTCTCTCGTCCTTGGTACGTCGATGTTCTTATTGCAGGTTTACTTGCAAACGTAAACTTACCAATCACCCACGTGGAATTCGGATTTCGAATCGATCAATTTCTTTTCTCTTCTTCTTTCTTTTTCTTTCTGTAATTTTCATTCACAGTTTAAGATGTATACTTTGCGCTTTGAATTCGACATGAAATTTTGACTAAAATCGAATGAGCATCAAGATAAAAATAAAATTAAGTTTAAATTTTTTAGATAGAGATCGCAAATAACAAATGTGCCAGTGATCATAAATAAGAAATAATTTATAAAATACAAATCAATGTGACAATGTATTACATTAAAATTAAAAATAAATTAATTCAATTTT